GCCACGTCAGCGAGTGCGACCACCCGGCTCCGTCAGTCGCCTCTTGCAGATCTTTGTAAGCGAGTAAGTGCCACTAAAGTGAATAAAATAACACAATGTTTTCTGCTTAGTCATGATGTAATGATATGTGATTTGAAACGTGCAATATACCTTTAAACTTATATATTATATATTTCTGTAAACGTTTCTGATGTTCCTGCTTTTTAGCTATTACATTTTTTCTTGTTCAGTACTGGTAGATCAGAAATAAACAAGCTTTAGACCAGAACAGAACGCTAGTTGCCCTCAGGCCCATATATTGACATATGAAGTGACAGCCCCTCTGTCCCCCATTGAGTAGATACATTAATATCAATGTAAAAAGTGTTTAAAGACAACAATATCAACTCAGAACTATATGGTTTAGTTAGAATGTGGAAAATATCTGATGTACATAAATACAAGTTGTTGTTCAAATCCACTGGTTTAAAATTTTAGTTATCCACACAATCATGGGTACACAAAATGGGGTATCAAGTAGTCATGATGTGCTATTTTCACACGGTTATGTTTATGTATGGTTGTATCAAAGAGGAGTTCTTAAGAATGCTTCACAGAACGTCAACAGATAGTTTCAGCAGCACTGGAACTGGACAAATAGTTCAACATATGCCATGTACAGATCTTCTAAATCGCCAGTTGAACCAGAAGTGTACTTAAATGTTTAACAAGCAAATCGCTACGCATTACTTATTCAAGATTTCGTCTGGGATTATCTGAAAGAATGGTAAACACTTGACGACAACATTCTATACTTTGTAACAATATTTACACAGGTATATTGTATACCGCACATCTCTATAGCTGAGTTGTACTCGCTCATATGATCTTTTGTACTGCTGTTTTGTATACGGACGGAGGCCTTTAGTAAGTAACACATCTTGAACTCACGTATTCTTTGGTTTAAAATGCTAGTGACAACAAGTTTGCATAGAAACTTATGAGACTTATACGTGTACATTTCTGGTTCATTTTTGTCACCTTTACCCTTATATACTGGTTTAATAATACCCCTAAACCCCTGCTCGGGAAATCTACCGTGATCAAATAATAGGTGAAGCAGCTTTGTATATACTGACATTATTATAGAAGAATAATTTCTTATAAATTAATTTATGATATTATCTTGTCAAAGTTCCTCCTTTTCCAAGGTTTATGGTCTGTTGAACGCTTGAGTTTGTTAGGTGTCTGACCTCAGCATATTAACCTAGTAAATGTATAAATATTGAACACGGTATAAACCCCATTTCACCATTGTGGAGTCAGTGACACATGATGTGTGTGTTAAATACAAGGACAATATTGCCATAGGATATGCGGGAAAGGACTAGTAAAGCATGGCGACCATTCACCCATGCATGTACATTGTCTGATCGAGCGAATCACACCACGAAGTTCTGCCACTTCCATGTTGTATCTAAGAAGATTTTGTCTGAAATCTGCCCTGTCATGTACGCTTTGAACAACTTAGCATTACATGGATAAAGTTTTTCTATGTTTGTGTCCGTAGTAGTGTGTCATCCTCAAACCATGTTGGAGGTGGGCGGAACAGAAACACACAAACACTCAACATATATATGTTACAGTGAATATGTCAAATCAGTGATTTTATAAAATTCCTGATTCACTCGGGGGTTTCACAAAATCCCTGGAATTCTTAGGGATTTAACAAAATCCCTGAAAATCACGACAGTTTTATTTACATATTCCCTGAAATGAATATATTGCATTCTCGTCTTTGTTTTGACAATACTTCTTGTAAATACTGCATGTGTATACAGTAGCCAGAGATAAACAATATCACTGATTTGACATATTCTCTGTAACATATACACGAGCATAAATCAAACACAGCGCGCTTCATATATAAGAAGTATGAAAACACTACACGTTGTTGTAAAAAACTGCAAACAAGATTCCAAGTATTAAATGGTAGGTGTATTTTATATATGAGCATATTTTACTCAGATGAAAAAAGAAATAGAAATGGAATTGAAATTTGGTGACAATTTACTTGCAGCCTGAGAGGAATGTATAAAAGCGTGATTGTCAGCAATGGACGATGGCATGCTCATCATGACAACGCCACCTATCCTACTGTCACACAGATCTCAAATAATGATTGGTGTGATTGTGTGAACCACATCAGTACCTGGTGTGGCTACCCCTAGCATGGATAACGTCCTCCAGCCTCCTCCTACTGACAATCAAGGATCGGACATTCCTCGTGGAGCAGGATCTAACTTGGTGACCAAAGATGTTCGATGTGGTTCATATCGGGGTTGCTTGTTGGCCATGGAAATGTTTCGATGTCGTTGTACTATAAATGAGAGATAACGGCTCGAGAACGTTCAGGTCTAGCGTAGCCATCCATGAATATCTGACGATTGGCAAGGGGATGGTTATCAAAATGTGGCACAACGTCGGCATCCAGTACTTCCGGTTGATAACGTTGATCATTGAGTGTTATTTCTTACGAAACCCAACCCACAGGATCACTGGCCACCACCAAAGGGTTCAGCTGCATGGATGATCTCCTGGTTATATGCCTCGGTACGACGTCTCCATGCGCGACAACGACCGTCGATAACGTTTAGACTTTCATCAGACCAATGAACCATACGCCATGTCCTCCAGATTCGGTTTTCACTGTCCCTGGACCACTCCAGGCATTCCTGTCTGTGCCTATCTGTAAGGAAGGGACGTCTTATCGGATGACATTGTCTCAGACCAGGAGTACGCAGCCTCCTTGAGATGCTCCTGGTGGAGCGATGGACTCCCACTTTCCGTTGCCGGTACGGTTCTTCGGCAGGACGATTCATCACGGTTATTGGTCTTCGACGATCTATACTTCCCAGGTGGCAATGTGCATTCCTCACAAACTGAATAATATACACATGGATAAAAGTATCGCAACACCCATGAATTTTAACCCCCATGCAGCCATTTATATTCATATCGTACTTATGTTTGTTTGTATGGATAATATCACCATTCGGGCGGATTCATGCATTGAATTAAGATGTGCTACGATCAAGGTGAGCTTCACTAGCAATACGTGTACACGTCATTAAGCAAATATGAAGATAGGTCCTCCATTACAAAATCTTGATTTATCGGCACCTGAAGCCCTCCATCAAAATTCAAATTCCACGTCTGATACAGTCAATGTGGAAGAGGGTCAGGGGTGCCAATGCAGTTGACAGCAGTTACACCAGATATTGGTATTGGTTCGTTTGCGACTTCTTGAGGCTTGTATGCCAGGATCGTGTAATGACCGCACTTGTTTACGTCATACGATCATAGTCATCACCACTACAAAATGACTCGTCTATTATTCGCCAATTTTACTGCTCTATATATTTACACTTTTTATTCTTTTTTTTTGCGTCAGGATTTCCTATGTAATTATTCCTTGAGGGGCAATTTCTCCAGAGTTGTAAGTTAAATTGAGTTCCTTTGCAATGGTTAAATTCTAACACATTGATACTGTAAACAAAAGTAGGTGTTGCGAAACATTTTTGTGTGTGTATATATCCGTGTGGTTAATGTTCTAATTAGGACCGATGTTGCGACAGGACATCCATGCGTCATGCATGTCAATACCTTTCCACTGTGTGTTTTCTGAACGTTTACGCCTTGCCATGTCAAGTTAACTCAGGTCAGGAAACTACAGTCCACATAATACAATTATGAAAGTTATAACCCGATCTGCTTGGCGCAATTGCAGAACGTGAAAATGCGACCCATAGCTTTTAAGATATTCTGTAAAGCATTCCAGTGTACATGTGTATGATCGCCTGACTGAACCAAAATGTCAAAAATGACCTTGTATTCAGGCGGTACTTAACTAATGTTTATCACGATATATCTTCAAGAAAGTGTCAATGTACGAATAACCCTCTGAAGCCTTAGTGCAGTTGCAGCTGTTCTCGTATCTCGTATTCCCTTACCTTGAAAACGAAAAAGTTGAGTGTACTTTGTAATCACAAGTGAACATGCTTAAAGTATGCAAACAATGCTTGACAAGAAAGCCTATTCGGTCGAACGAGGGACCACATTGTGCAGAATTACAAGCCTGACACAGTGAAGTATGGACATAGGTTTGAAGCTTACTACAATAGGGGGTTGATGCGCTACATCCCGATATAAAATTTTCCAGATTAGACTCATAGTGACGAAAAACATTATGTACCAAAGCCTATTCGTCTCCCCTCGCCGCCATCTTTGACTATTTGTATGCCGTGTTGGGATGCTATGACTGCCGTGTTGGGATGCTATGAATGCCGTTTTGTACGCTCGGTGACCGTTCTCGCGCGCTCTTGTAGCTGATACGCAAGTTTTGTTTCCATTTCAAACGATTAGTCTTCCATTACAGATGTATTGTTTCGGTTTTAGAGGATATTGTTGCAGTTTGGGAAGTTTATTTTCCTATTTTGGTGATTTTTGTTCTGTTTTGGTGTATATGAGTTCAGTTTTGATGATTTGTTCACCGTTTGTATGGTAGGCCTGAGTGCCATCTCTGTTGATGATACCACGGGTATTTGTTATGAAAATTCTGTTATATTGCCTTCGAACCGGTAATTTGTTTCGATCTTACCCAGTCAGTAGGTTTGTGCAATATTCTGCTCGCTCACTCTGTACTTTGAGTTACATAAATGTGATCACATGGCATTACATCATACTCTAGTCACTACCTGATACCACTGTGTTTGTGCTTGATCACTTGCTGTATGACCCGAAAAGCTTTAGGTATAAATATCTTGCAAAAACACGTTTATCTGAACTCGTGACAAACACAAATTCACTCGTGCTTGGATCGCACATGTTAATGTCAGTTTTGTCAAGTCACCTGTATATGATACTTGACAAGAAAAGACAACTCTGACAATGATATGGGTTTGATCATATGGTCATAGTTTGGTATATTTCTTAAAGGGAGTGAATGAGTTTAGTTTTACGCAATATTCCAGCAATATCACGGCGGGGAACACCAGAAAGGGGCTTCACACACTGTACCCATGTGGGGAATCGAAACCGGGTCTTCGGCGTGACTAGCGAACGCTTTAACTACTAGGCTACCCCACCGCCCCTATATTTCTTAAAACTCCTGACCAGTGATTCTTCATAAACGATCCCCACTAAATCGAATTACGTATATACCTGCCCTACAATAATATATACGCGATTTACATGAGCTGTCGACTTAAAAGGAAAACATCAAGGAAAATCTCCATTTAAGTCTGCTAACATTAACTGATATTAATTATAACCTATGTAACGAGAAAACCTTCTGAAACGTTTGTCAAATGTTGACGTAGTTCAGATGATGTGTGATAATCATTATTATCAAAATATAGTAGGCAATAAAGGAAGAAGAGTCACTGTTGAGTCTCTATTATTATCGCCAGTTACGACACTACTGCAGAGGGCTGTCGGGGCTGAAACAAACAGTCTGTTATAACACAGACAGTTTGTATATACATGTATTGAGTTAGCTTGATTTACTACGCGTCAGTGGAAGTGGCCTCCCTGAGAATGCAGTTCGAAACTTTGTAGAACAATCTACTGGTGGTTCGGGCAGCGGCAGAAAATATATATGAATATATTAATTTGTAAACAACCTGGTGAAAATCAGGCGCGTATACGTAGCAAGCCATTTTCTCGTGTAAGGCCGATAGGTTGCAAAACGTTATATACTCATGTCAATAATGGTTGTCACCAACCCCTACCCCACCACACCCCACCCACCATTAATAAACTTGAAGGGGGTGACAACCATTATTGGCATGGGTATATTTAGATAGTATTGAGGAAGCCTAACTTTCATAGCAAGACTCGTGTGTCAGTTGGGGATTTTTTATAATGGTAGCTACCTCCCCTGAGAATGAAGCGAGAGAGAACAGATCTTTGACCACGAAGCTGAACCAGGAGACGGATATAATAACGAAGTGATTCGATGTTTAACTATCGCATAAAGTCAAACAGCCCGAGAATTTACAGAAGTCTGCTGCTGAAGATATTACGAGAGAATGTGATTCCGCGATGATGTCCTTTTATTACACTGGAATTGAATATTGGCGATGTCGTGAAGGGCGAGAAAGAACAACAAGTTTGTGTTGTGGTTGTTCGGAGAAATGTACCGATCGACCAACGTGAGAACGATCGTCCTTCTCTCATATGTTGACTGTTCAACCGCGCTGTTAAGGACGGAATAAACCTGGCAGAAAAGTGCGGGGCGATGTCAAGCCGGGTGTTTAATGGTGGAGACGTGAACAACTTCTCTTGTGATTAGAGATCGATAAAGGAAAGAAATTTCGTTTTTTAAAGAACTAGGGCTCACGGCGTAAGTCAACTAATAGAATAGTGCGTGTGTGTGCGTGCACACGGTATATACACACATACACGCTAATATATATTCAAATTGGGGGTAAATGTGTATGAATATTAACAGAAAACGTATTTTGGGGTAGAAAAAGGACATTTCGGTCAAAATGTAGAATAAATTTGTATATGTCGGCACTTTAATTCTCTCAATGAAACAAAAAACTGATTATATCGACATTGCAGGAGAAATAGAGAGGCCAATTATTTAATGAATAACTAGCAGCTAACAGTATTTTGCGTGATTATCTAAATGAAGGCAATATATGTAAGCGAACAGTCGTGTTGGCAAGCAGGCCAAGAATGGCGATTCTGTGTTGTGGCACACCAACATACCGAAGTAAGGGTTCCATCGTGTGAACAGTTTTCGTTCGTGATGTTGGTTCTGATTATTCGTTCTTTCTGTGTGATAATCTGGTGTCACGTACCTCTGGCGACTCTGCACCACTCACCATAACTATCTTTACCAGCTCATCAGCGTTACGGGCTGAATTACTATCCCTTTGAGTTGTATATAAGTGAAGAATCTTTAATATTGGTAAACGAAAGTATTAGTGTTATTGAATCCCATCTGTGAAACGTGACATTTAGGTTGCATGGGATGAATCTGCAATGTGTATATAGAGATAGCAGTATTAATAATATACTGAGAGAAATAAGTAAAGGATCACAGGAAGCTTAAAGCGTTCTGATATTTTCCAGTTTTCATCGCCACAGCGCTATTCAAAGCTGGTGATGAAAACTGGATAATATTAAAGGAACGTATGGATTTTCCTGTGATCCTTTATTTGTTTCTCTCAGTATATAAGTCACTGTCTACATGCTTTACTGGAGTCATACATAGAGAATACTACACGAGGTCTCATTACATACGAATTATACGAAACGAGTGTCCTTCCTATGGTATCTGACCGAGCGAATGCGAGGTCAGATAACATAGGAAGGTCACGAGTTTCGTATAATTCGTATGTAATGAACCGAATCAATGGTATTTTATTTATTACCCACTTCTTACATGCATTAAATTGACAAAATAGCGTATTTTTGTTATTTTGTGGTTTCGAACCGAAACCGGTTTCATAAAGAGGTTGCGGAAGAGTTTTGTACTGTAGTACAATATTTGCATGACGTCACACTGTAATGACGTCACTGCCTTGGTAACCGACGTCACGATGCATGTCAGTTGTCATCGCCTCGTACAGCCTCCTACAGTAAACTACTCCGTAGCACCCCGTTTCTAGGTTTGCAGTTGCTTCATTCGGCTAACATCACTGGTGGAAACATTGCGTTTATGTTTTTCAACGGATATAATGTCTCAGTTCGACTCACAATTAAACAGCGTTACGGCAACGTTCGCAATGTTTACATTCCCACAATGCATTTAAGTTGTAGAATGAATGAATTCACGTGTTTGTTAAGAATGAAAAAATAGTTACGTCAGAATGTGACCTAATAGACCGATCCAGTCTGTCAATCAAAACTGGCGCATGCGTCAAATTTGGCCAATCAGCAGGCCGGGCCCGCTGTGTGGATTTGTCGGACTTATTTCCGGGGTCAAACGATGCCTCCGAAGCGATGTGCTTCGAATTATGCTATTTACACTCGCTATATTTATTACACGTTGCTGCGACTTGATGTGTACCTTAACAAAACCATTACGGCCAAGACAACAAAAATGGAGGCGGATCAAGAAACGCGATAGGCCTAACGATCAGTTAAATGTCTGCACCATCGTTCAGGAAACCTACGTCTGCCTGCTGATGAGAATTTGCACGAATTTCCACACTTTTGCACATATGCAAAATCATTACCAATTGATGACAACAAATAGCAGTTTAAGACTTTGCAAGTGTTATAAACACGGACAATTCTAGTAACTACAAAATTGTTTTTGCTTAACGTGTTTAGTCACTACTAGGCATTGAGTTGGTACGCCATAAAGCTCAAAAGGGGAAAGGCGAGAAAGCCGTGATACAATGTAAACAAATCTCCTTTTCGGTTACGGTCAACCGAAATAGCAAAACTTGTTACATGAAAAAACAATGTGGCGGATATTGTCCCCTTCGCTCTTAGATATTCTTCAATTTGTCACACATTTTAGGATGTTTTAAGTTTCATAATCACAATCTGAAGGCCTACAGTATCTTGTTAACAGAGAAAAATATTCGAGGAGTAATGTTTTTTATTCAAACGGAAATATTGTCAGTGTCAGCAGTTGCCTATCATGCACTATCCAAGTATCAAACTTAATTCATATGAGTGCCTATAAAACCATGCTTTAAATATTTCAGCTTTTTTATAAAGAGTTGCATGGGACTTTGAATTGAATTACCTTCCTCCATGTTGATCGAATACGAAAACTATGTGAGAAGAATAGTGATCGACTTTCTGGAGTATTGGACGGAGTGAAATAAAGTGTATATCTTAATTATGAGAACATTATTTGAAGTTTTGTTACCACATAAATTATTCACATATATTGGTACATTTTAGGAGTAATATTACAACTGTAATTTTGATTAATTCACTGGAAATGATAGCAAGGTATGTTTTAAGAATCTTGCTTTTTTTAGTAAACGTGGAAGGGTAATAAAATTAATAATAATCTAATCAATAATAAATAATTATTTAATTGATTGACATATCAGATTCTTATGATTTTAAGGCAGAACTAGGCAAACAAACACCATACATATCATGGCAGGACAATCACTTGGTATTAACTTAGTTTCTTGGCTCCTGCTTTTACATGTTTTTTTAAATACTACATTTACTAATAATATAATTCTGAAAGTGATTGCTAGTATCATAACTCATTAAATATATTTCAACATCCAGAGAATTTAAAAAGCAAAGGCTACGTTTTGGTCAAACCCTGCAGGGCCTAGATTTTCGAAGCACTAAGATAAGCGCTAAGATAGTCGGAAGTGCCATGCATTAACATTAACTTACGACTATCTTAGCGCTAAGAGAGCTTCGAAAATCTAGGCCCTGGAACAGAATAACTTACAAAAATCTCAGTTGACTTTTCATGTAACAGAATAAATATTGAAACATATATTTAACCCATATTTGATGTAATTCTTCTGATAAATCATCAGTTTTTTAGGAGGTTATCAAAATTTGAAGACTGAGCCAAAGTTAGTGTTTATTAAGATGATGGATTTTGACATATTTTTAAGGTTTGTTGATGGTTATTTGGAAAATGAGCTTCATTTAAGAATTGAATGTCAGTTTGTGTGTTTGCACTGAAAAATGAACGATGTCAAAGCGGTGTTCAAACTCGTGTGAACGAGCGAGTTTACGAGCGAGTTCACGCGCGAGTTTGAACAACGCTTTGACATCGTTCATTTTTCAGTGCAAACACACAAACTGACATTCAATTCTTACAATTTCGCAATTTGAAGTATACACATACGTTTTCCACCCCTTTGCGATTTTTCTTTTACACATGTATCCCAACCCTTGAAGAAATAGTTCTCAAAGTATTCGATCTTTAAAATATAACAACAAATTCGTTATGAGGTTTGAAACTGCTTTAATAAGTATAATCAATAACAGTATCAAACAGAAACAAATATCAGAAGCAATAACAATACCATTTTAACAAACTGGCATTGTACCTTTTCACTTGTAAATACCTTGTTTGACCGCGTA